CATTCGTTTGTTGATGGGCACTTAGGTTGTTTCCAACTCCTTGCTATTGTGAACAAAGCTGCAGTAAACATGGGTGTGCATATATCTGCTTGGATGTCAGCTATGGTCTCTTCAGGGTATATTCCCAGTAGTGGAATTGCTGGGTCAAATGGAAACCTGCCCGTCTTAACACACTCGCTTAGTCAATCCATTTCCTACAGATCTTCCTCTCCTGTGCTGTCACTCCACACTTCTAAGCATGTCTTTTTAAAGGACTGGTCCCTCCTGGCCACATGCCCAAAGTATGAGACAGAGTTTCAAAATCCTTGTCTCCAGAGAGCAATTTGGTAGCCCCCTCTTCAGGAAAAACCTGTTTGTTCTCTTGGCGGTCTATGGTGTCTGTTTAACGCTTCTCAAGCACCACAACTCAAAGGCATTGATTATTCAGTCATCCTTAGTCATTGCCAGCAACCTGATGCCTAGCAAGTTAATTGTGAAGCCTGATCTCAGTCAGGTGCACCTTAGTCTCTAGACCGACGACATTGCTTTTCCACACTCTGTAGAGGTACCTGACAGCAAATTTTCCTAACGCAGTTCACCTTTTGATTTCCTAACTGCTAGTGACAAGAGAGTTGATTGTGGAACTGAGTAAACTGAAATTATTAACAGTCTCAGTGACTTCTCCATTTAACGTGCTGTCAGTCGGCCTAGTGAGAATCTTTGTTTTCTTGATACGGAGCTTCAATCCTTATTGAAGACTGCAGTCCTTGACCTTCTGCAGCAAACACTTTGGGCCTTCTTCAGTTTGGGCAAGCAAGATTGTGTTGTCTGCATAATGCAGTCTGTTGATGAGTCTCCAATTCTAATGTTACATTCCTCCTCATAAAGTCCAGCCTCATGAATGATGTGTTCCTCATATAGATTGAAAAGGTACGGAGACAAGATGCATCCCTGATGCACTTCTTTCCTGATTTTGAATCCTGCATTGTTTCTTGCTCTATTCTGACGACTGCTGCTTATTCCAGGAATAGGTTTTGCATGAGCACAATCGATTGTTCTGGGCTTTCCATTCTTCTCAAGGCTAGCCACAATTCGTTGTGGTCCTCACAGTCAAATACCTTTGCATAGTCAGTGGAACACAGACATTGCTCTGTTACTCTGCTTTCAGCCAGGATCCATCTGATATTGGCTATGTTGGCCCTAGTGCCACATTCTCTTCTAAACCCAACTTATATTTGTGCTATTTCTCTGTCAATGATGTTCTAGTGGTTTTGGATAGTCTTCAGCAAGATTATAATTACGTGTGATATTGTTCAATAATTTCCACACTGTTGGATCTTTTTTTTTTAATGGGAATAAATATCGATCTCTTCTAGGCAGTTGGCAAATTCTTGGCACAATCTGGTAAGCATATCCAGGGTTGTATCTGTCAATTGGTATTCCGTCAATTCCTGGGGCCTTGTTTTTTGCCAGTTCCTTCACAACAGCTTAAACATCCTCTTCCATCACCATTGCCTCTTGATCTTGTTTGATGAAATTCTTCTGTGTCAGCCAGTTCTTTTGGATACAGTGATTCTGTGTACTCAGACTTCTTTTGATGCTTTGTGGATCATT